ACGCGCGTGCCAGTGACTGAGACAGAAAGACTGACAGAGACAGAAAGACTGACACTATTCAGTTAGGCCTATATTTTCACATTTGTTCATATCTCAATTTTAGTTTCAGGCTACTTGTCTCTTTTTTTTCACTGATTTTCATTAGCATTTCTCTCTCTTTTATGACAGTGTAGCTGCTGCTTCTGTGTAATTACTGTCATTATTAACCCATTATTAACTAAAAACATTATAAATCAAACCATAGCCACCCGTAGCTTTATAATGCAGCAAGGCTGTAGCCATAGAGTTAATATTGTGGGAGATCAAATCTACCAGGTGCCCCCAGTGTTGACACTAAACTGAAATAAATAAATAAATAAACTCAAGCTCATTTTCTATTAGTCTATATTTTATATCATTTATCAGAGCAAAGCACAGCTAGCCTTTATGAATATACAATAAATCAAAGCTAGTAATGTCTACACAGATTACACATGCAGCACAACATTAATGACTGACACTGTAACACCCATAATTTTCCATTTTATAACACATCTAAAAGTAATGACAGCACAGTGTGACAGTGACTGTACCTACCAGCAGTTCAGTAACAGCTTCTGCTGAGGTACGGCAACACCACCTGTACAAACCACACACAGAACTGCAGCACACTGTAATACCAGAATACCAGTAATAATAGTGATAATTAGTCTACTTTATATTTAATCATAATTACATTTGCTCGTGATTATTTTAGACAATAGCAGGGTTGTCTGTTGTAGCACAGCAACATTTTTTGTTACAGTTTTCATAAATATACTGGGGGCGCTGGAGGGGGCAAAGCATACAGCAAGATAAATATATAGATAAGTGATATTACAGACAACAGAGCCTCCCCTCAGCATTCAACCATCATTTCTTGGTCTAGGAAGTGGCTTCCAGATAATATTTGATAATCTAGGTCCTGCATAATCAAGGAATGGCGTCCTTACATGATAAAATACACCAAATTTACCTCTAGACCAGTATGTCACATATTCCATGGGTAGGAGTGTTGGTGGCTTGTTTGAAATCCATTTCAGTGATATACATTTACATGCAGCATATGTTAACACACTCAACACTTTCTTCTGTAAACCCTTTGTAGGTGTGGCATTCATAGCAGAAGGCAAAGTGGATCCAAATCTAATTTTTTATTGAAAACCAAATTTAACTTTGAAACAGCTTTCAACCAAAACCTCTGAATATGTACACATGTCCATATAGTGTGTATAAAACAACCAACCTCCTCACTACACTTCATACACAGAGCTGACTTCCTGGGGTCCATCTTGTGTCTCAGTTGAAGAGATATGTGGAGGCAATGCAGCAGCATGAACTGTTGTTCCTTTGTCCTTTTGCATATGGATATGTTATGAGTATGCTTGGTCCTCTCCTTTTTATCCTTTACATCTGCTTAGTAACATCATCCGCCGATATGGCCTCCATTTCCATTGCTATGCCGACGACGTCCAAATCCACCAAATCCATCACTACAGCAATCTGCTCCACACTTGAAAATTGCCTCACTGAAATGAAATCCTGGATGCAAACTAACTTTCTACAACTCAACTGTGACAAATAAGACATGATCATAATCGGCCCCAGTTCCCTTACTAAAACCATCCATAATTTCAGCCTTAATGTTGCAAAAGTCGGCATGGTGGTGTGGTGGTTAGCACTGTCGCCTCACAGCAAGAGGGGTCCTGGTTAGATCCCGGGTGTGGGAGTCCTTCTGTGTGGAGTTTGCATGTTCTCCCTGTGGGTTTATAGGTACTCCGGCTTCCCCCCACAGTTCAAAGACATGCAGATTTGTGACTCTAAATTGTCCATTGGTGTGAATGGCTGTCTGTCTCTGTGTGTCAGCCCTGCCAGGGTGTACCCCTGCCTCTGCCCAATGTCAGCTGCCCCCTGCGACCCTCAAGAGGATAAGCATTTAGAAAATGGATGGATGTTGCAAATACTACACTTTCTCCATCTCCACATCTACGCATCTATGGAGTCACTTTCGACAGCAACCTCTCATTTGAACCGCACATTAATCATATTACCAAAACCACTTTCTTTTCATCAATATTACCAAAACCGCTTTCTTTCATCTAAAAGAACATAGTTCGGCTCCACCCCTCACTCACCTTCTCCACTGCAGAAACTCTAATTCACGCATTCATCACATCCAGACTAGACTACTGCAATAGCATTCTGGTTAATCTTCTAAAGTCCTCAATAAACTACAGTACATCCAGAACTCTGCTGCCCGTCTCCTCACCCAGTCCCACTCCCGTGATCATATCAGGCCCGTCCTTCAGAACCTCCACTGGCTCCCAGTACCTCAACACATTCAGTTCAAAGTCCTTTCCTCACCTTAAACCAGTCCCCATCTTACCTCACTGACCTGTTGCACCGTCACATCCCCTCCGCAGTCTCCGCTCCTCTGATGCAAATCTCCTCTCTCTACCACACAGGACCAAGCACAAAACCTGAGGGGACAAAGCCTTCTCCACTGCTGCTCCCTCCCTCTGGAACTCTCTCCCCCAACACATCCGTAACTGTTTAATATTTAATCCCCATCCTTGCTCTTAACTGTGTTTTACTGCTCTTATGTTGTTGTTTTTAACTTGTTCTTTCTGTTTTTTTGTAAAGTGTCTTTGAGTGTTTTGAAAAGCGCTATACAAATAAAATGTATTATTATTATTATTATTAAATATCTATCATTGTAGCTTCATCTATGATCTGCACCCAAATGTCCTGAGCCCATGTTTGTATGATTGCACAGTTCACTTTGCTGGACTTGTACAGGGCCTCATAACATCGCCTTACTATAAACTTATTGCTTTGTCTTTTATTAAACTGTAAAAATCTTTTAACTTTTTGGAACCTAAAAAAAATGTGTTTGAGGTAGTTTATGTTTCAGTTAGTTGGTCAAATGACATCATACTGTCTCTTTCCAATAAGTTTTTCAAAATTGTAATAGCTGCATTTTTCTACATAGAAAACCCATTATCTGTCATCCCTGGGGGATTTTTTCTTTATTTGAGTGATTGGTGATAAAACATCAGTTTTATTCCCATTTCCTGATCATATCCCAATGCTTTAGTGTAAATGTAACAATTAAATTACCACCTGTAACCGCTAATTCTTTCCAATTCAAAATAAATAGGAGACTAGTCGGTGTTAATGGTTTACTCAGACTGAATACTTTAATATCTAACCAGACTAAGTATCTGGATTATTTCATACCCAATCTACCAGATAATGAAAACAGGGGCGGGGCTTCCATGGTGGCACCTAGAACTGTTTGTTCTGGTTATTCTGCATATATCGTCTCTTACACAAAGCACTGAGATGTTTATTAAACAGAGCTGAGCTCTACTGGGTAAGAGCATAAGATACGACTGTACATTGTGAGAATTTATTGTGTTGCTTATTCTGTTAAGACTTCTTGTTTACAACATAGCGTGGATTATTGATTGATTCTAATTTCAATGTTGACACTAACAGTGGAAAATGAAAAGGTCATAGGCATCTTCCTTACAAGGGGAGAGGTTTAATGCGGCCAACAAATGCAAGATGAAGACATAAACAGTGTGTAACTGTGCAATCTAAAGAAAGAAGTTGTTTGTACCTAACAGTCAAAATATTGAAGAGAGACGTCAGTGGTAGCCTTCATTTTTGTTACTTTTGGGTGCTTGCCCGACCTCAGTAGGTAATTTTTAAATTTCTAACATGGGGGATGGACCATTATCTGTGCCCTCAGTGTGGATTTGAGTGGGTATGTTTGCTCAACTGGATTTGAACTGCCCATGGGATTTGTAGAACATGCCATGTAAAATTACTTTTCTGACTCTTCGAATCTTCTTTGACTGTTGTCTCTCGTCTCGTCTTTACTGTGTGTGTGTGCGTGTATGTGTATCTCACTCACTTGAGACAAAACACTTATCAAAATGCACAGATTTGACTGGCTAAGAAGAATCACAAAAGATGATTTAACACCTGCAATTGGTCTGTGAGTTTCGTAGTTGCTTAAACAGTGTTCCAAAGCTGTCCTGATTCAAAAAGAAAATCTCTGTTAATATTAAATAATTCTCAGTGGTTTATTGATGATAGGTCTGGGTCTGGATAGGATAGCGCCTGGGTCTGGAACTGAGGGATGGAGAGGGATGGAAGGTTAACAAGGGGGATGCAGTTAGGTCATTTTGCTAACAAAGGAGCGTCCACTTCTTATCTCTCCTCAGATCGCCTCGTGGTCAAATAAAAGCCAAAGGGAACATAAAGCCCAGTCTTGTTACAGCCAATCATAATGTTAAGAATTGGGTTTTACATTTCTCATTATTGACTTTTCTGCATCATGATACAAACTTTCAAGAGAGAACTGCGATGCAAGTATTGATTTTTTTCCCCCACCCATAGTCTTTATACTGAAAAAGGCAAGAAAGTATTTTTTATGCTGTCGATAGCTATGGAGGCATTATGTATATTCCATTCTTATGAACCCAGTAGCTCAAGAATACCTCGAGGGAATCTCTTCAAATTTGGCACAATTGTCCCCTTGGACTCAATGATGACCTATTTAGATTTTGGTAGTCAAGGGTCAAAAGTCAAGGGGACTGTGACCTCGCATCCATCTCAGTCTCGTGAACATGATATCTCAAGAACACCATGAGGAAATATCCTCCAATTTTGCACAAACGTCCAAAACGCCACAAGAGATTTTGGCCATAACTCAGGAATTCATATGCTAATTATGACAAATTTCACACAAACACCTCATAAAATAAAATGATGCAGTGATGCCATTATATGTCCAAAAGGTCAAAGGTCAAACTTTAGTGTGACATCATAATCAGAACAGAAGGGGAGACATTTGGTCAGGTACTGAATTGGTGACACTAAGCTTGAGTGCCAAACTTGAAACTGTGCTGATTGTATAGATCATCTTTGCTGCTGGAAGAAGATGTGTGTGAAGCATCCACACTTTAGAATACATGGCTTTCATCATCTTTATTTAAATTATTGTTTGCTGTCATGGTTACATATAAGTCTGAATTAACATGGATATAAACTGTAACTGAAACTTGACTGGTTCTCGACGGCATACAACCACGAGGCAGTAATTCTAGTTTACAACAGGGAATTACATTATTGCCATTTTAACCTTTGCATTGTGGGTAATTCCCCTGATCAAAATCAATTCAAAAGAAATAGATTTGTTATAAAACATCTTATCCATAGATAAATCATATTTTTTCCTTTTTAGAATAATCAACTCTTCTGTTTTTTGACAAAACTCTTCACTGCAATCAAACACATCGGTTGCATTTTAGTGAATATCACTGCATATCACAAATCAGTGTTTCTGAAGCTTCCATTCACTCTGTACGACTGACAGGAACAACTATCATCGGCCCCAGGTTTGAACCATATTCATTATTACAAGGATTAAAGTATGGGTGCAGTTTTTCAGTAAACACACACTCAGTAAACGAGTGAATGAGTGTTGCGGTCTGTACATCATAGAAAGAAATTTTCCCTCCATCATAATCCACAAACACGCCGATCCGCTCCACTTTCCCAAAGTGTACCGGAACATTTGGAGAACCGTAGGCTTCAAACTTATCCTCTTGGAACCAGATGAACCAGAGTCCACAGCCAGGACTCCAATCAATCTTCACCTTCCTCTGGATTGATGCTGTGGCCACGCCCAGACACCACTCCGTCTTCTCACCCACAAACACTTCGAAGTAAAACTTGCGTGAAGAGAAGCCTCTCTGTCCCAGAACTCCAAGATGTTTGGTAAACATGTTTGGGCTCAGATTTCGGTCTCTCCTTGAGCCCATCCCATATCTCACCTGTTTCCTGTCATTGGATACGATGAGCCGACGGTGAGCTGTATCAGGGTCGAGCTCAATGTTTTCCTCATACTGCTGCACATAGCTCAGCGTAGCATCGTTTGACACGTCTGTGCCGTCAGAGAGTTTTTGTATTTCTGTATTCATTTTGTTCAGCAACATTCGCAGTTGAGACACTGATTTGTTCAAAGATTTCTGTACATGATGTATCTCCGCTTGTCTGTTAAAACTAATTGTGGGCAAAGCCACTGTGTATGGTATAGTGGGTGGGTTTGGGATACTCTGGAGGAAACAAAGCTGGTCCTCAGTCTGTTTCAGCTCCCTCAGCTTAATCGCTGTCTTCTGCAGCTCAGTGATCTCTCCCTCCATACTGCTGATAAACCCATCTGCCTGTTTTTCTGCTACTTTCTGTTTCTCCTCAATCACCTTTACAAGATCTATCTGGCTCTTCTGGATCTCACAGACCAGTGCTGTCATGTCCTGCATGCAGTTTGCTATCACATCTTTGGTTTCTGTCTTGCTTTGTTCTACTGACTCCTTTACGGCTTGCACCTTCTGCATTCTTTCCTGGATCATCTGCTGCACTTTGGCTTCAGCGTCTTCCAGCAGAGCCTTCGTTTCTTCATACGCTCGCTGCAGAGGAGCCACGACATGATTCACGTGGTGCAAACCGGCACAGATGTCACACAGCAAAACCTGGTCATTATTACAGAATAAAGTCAAGAGTCTGGTGTGCTCCTTACAGATCCTGTCCTCCAGATTCGCCAAGGGGTCAATCAGTGTGTGTCTCTTCAGGCCAGCAGCTCTGTGATGAGGCTCTAGATGGATGTCGCAGTAAGAAGTCAAACACTCCAGACAGGATTTGACAGCCTCTAGCTGGTTGTCAGTGCAGATATCACACAGCACCGCTCCACCGCAGCCGGCCTGCTGTTGGTCCTGGCTCCTGATGTGAGCGTCTGTCACTTTAAGCGACTTGAACTGTGATGCAAGCTCTGAGATGAAAGTGTTGACCTTGAGGTCCGGTCTCCTTTCAAATGCTTCCTTACAGACAGGACACTGGCTGACTGGTGTGTTGTCCCAGTAAGATGTGATACAGGACATGCAGAAGTTGTGTCCACATGGAGTGGAAACTGGCCGAGTGAACACATCCAGGCAGATGTGACAAAGAAACTGCTCCTCAGATAAGAGACTGTTGCTGGAGGCCATTTCTGAAAAGAAACAAGAACGGTTAAATTATGGCAGAAACTTCACAGAAACACAACACAATGCTGAGATTCAAAATGCATTTTTGACCTTAGAAACAGCAAAAAAAAAAAAAATCTTATTTAGTGGCTGCTGTGGAGCTGTCCATCGAATCACATGATCTAAATCAGCAGATGGAGTTTGGAGTTGCAATGGAACTGAAAATGGTAAAAGTGACTTCTTTTTTTTTCAGCGCAATTTGAAGAACCCTGTGGAGTGTTCCTCAAAACAAACAAAATTTCTGTTAACATTTATTGTTTATTCTCAGCCCAGCAATGTCAATAGATGTTGATATTTGGTTGAATTTAGGTCGTGACATCAGGTGACCAAAATTCAACGTCAGGACGTCTAATGCCAACGTCAATTTGATGTAGAATATTTTGTTTGGTTTAAGTTGTGTTGTTAAATGACCAAAATCCAGCACCTTTCAAACATCTCATGCCAACGTCATTTTGACATAAAATAAATACGCTCCGTCACAAGGTATGAAAAACAAAACCTGACGTCTACAAAATGTCACAATGTTAACGTCTGCACAACGCGTAATTCTAATGTTGTTAGACAGTGAGAACATCATCAACCTAGTTTTCATTTCAGACAAAATTTAAGGTCTGTCTGACACAAGAGTCCAACGTCTTTCTGATGTCATATGACGTTCATTGCCAGCTAGGATTGCATTTAGAGCTGAAAGAATTTGTCGATTAATCAAACTAATGACTTCCCACACATTCAATTATTTTCATTTCAATATAAAAATCTGGCACCATATACTGATTTTCTATTTTTTGGAGCTGGAACATTCATTAGGTGTGCTGTTGGAATATATATATATATATATATATATATGTATATATATTGTTTGGTTATTCGTTGCTCCACACTCTTGAGGTGCAGAGCATACTCTGGGCGCAGACGGAGCAGCAGAATGCCAGGCGCAGTGAAAGTGATTTTTTTATAATTCAAATTTTTATCTATCTATTCAGTGAAATCTGAACAAACCATCAGTGTTGTTATTGGAACTCAAAATATCCACTGGCACCTGGTAGGCTAGCTACTCATTCTTAGACCCAAAATAGTAATGCAGCAACCATCATCGTTGACTTCATCACTGACCCTAGCTAACGTGTTCAGAGGGGATGTCTTTTTCCAGAATCTTAGGATCACTTGAGCAGCTGTGATGACCCCTACATTTATCTCAACAAGGTCATGTTTAATATACATTTGGCAATACTGTTCGGTCCCCCATAAGGCATAGCTTTGGTGACTTAGGTACCGTCATACCCAAACACTTCCCTATGTGATCCACAACTTTTTTCCAAAATGGATTAACCAGTTTACATCACCAGATTGCATGTAGCAATGTTTCTGTTTCTGTCTGACATTTCCAACATCAGTTATTAGCCAGTACACACACCCTGTGGAGCTTAGAAGGAATAAAGTAAAACCTATTGCCTCCTTTCTTGCCTAGTTCCCAGTATTTGACAGTATTTTCAACCATTCCTCATTGCTTAATTCACACCCGAGGAACTTCTGCCAAATGATTCTCAGATTTTTACAAATATCTTTTCGTAACACACTGAAGATTTTGTAGAACATAGCTGCCCTGTGTGCTACAGAAGTTAATACTGTGAAAGTGAAACTAACTGTTTTGCACTGGGTTTTAAAAAATTGCTTTCACTCGCCTCTGCTGCAGCTTTAGCATTAGAGCTTATTGAATGGCCCTTGTGTTTGGATTATTTAAACAACTCCAGCACTTTTTTATTGTGCACGAGGAAGCAGCATTTCCCAACAAAACTGCTCAATTAGCAGCGAGTGGGATGAAACTGCAACCTACACATAACTGTAACTAAGTTATTAATTTAAAGTAACTTGCCCAACACTGCACATGACACAGACTTTACTCGTCATGTTTTATCATGACAGTTTTGGTTCTATAAAGATTACTTACGTCTCACTGTGTTGGTCTGTAACGGAGAACTGATACCGTGGTTGTTTCCTCTTCGATGTGTTTCCCCGTTCCAGTTTCTTCCTGTGTTTCTTAAAGGGAAAGAGACACATTTTTGTCTGTGACGTCAGAGGCTAGTGGAGGGTTGGATACTACAGCAGTGGGGGCTGTGTTCGGCTCCAGTGTGAGTGTGTTGTGTATTATTTATTGTTTGAGGATAGATTTCTGTTTTAGTTCAGTATAATTCTGCCTGATTGATTTCCTGTCTCTCTCACTTCCCAAAACACATTAGTACAACCCACCCAGGGGAGTCACATAGGCAGGAAAAGTGTGACTGATTACCAAAGGCCCCAATGGGAAGGGGCCCTCAAACAGTCTGAAATAAAAAGTTTGGTTTTGTTTATAGTTTTTTTTTTTCCAAGTAACTATTGCCGTAACTAAATAAAAATTGGCTAAATGAACCAATTGAAAGACTGAACTTTGTGTTAAAAAATAGTGGAAGCTCTCTGAGGCCCCTTTCACCCCTTAAAGTTGCAAAATGGTTTAGTCCGCACCTGCATAGGATTCCTCTCTAAATGCAGCAAGAGCTGTGTGAGTGACCAGTAACGCTACTGAGGCACCAACATACACCATCATGTCTTTCCCCAACAAAGACATGAGAGACAAACTGGAGCTCCAAAAACAAAAAGAAAGGAAGAAAGAAAGGAAAAGGAAAGAAAGAAAACTGACTTTGTGGGAAAAAGGATCATAGATCAAGAGAGGCAGGGGGAAGATTGCATTTGTATAGGGGCCAGAATTTGGTGTTATGATCCTGAACCCACTTGATACTGTGACTGATAGCAATAATGCTGTTTGTGAGTTCACTGTTTGTTTCAGGAAACACTGAATGCTCTGTCTGTACATAATGATCCATCTTATCTGTTTAAGACAGCCACAGTACTGCACCACCAACAAATACCATTCATTCTTAATGCGCTTTTATCATTACTGTGGCCATGACCTGTTGTCTGTATGTTGAGGATAACAGCGTTAAGTATATGGATATGTGGAATATGGATGGTGCACAATGCTGCTTCAAATACTGAGACTTTGCTTTTAAGCAGCAAAATTAAAAACTCCCTGTGGGCTGATAATAAATCCAACAGGACATAAAACATATTTTCAATCACTTTTTAGTTATTATAAAAATGTCCTGACACCTCTAATGGAGCTGGACTCATCATGAAAACAGCTGCTATGTAGGCCCTCCATTTTGTTTTCTTCATATTACTCACTCACTGTTGATCCTCAGATCATATTGCGGCACCAAGAGACTGAGGTATGCCCTAATTAATTAAGTTGCCAGTGCTGTGCCATATGCTTAAAATGTGCACAATAACCTACCTCCTTCAATTTTGAGATGTACATATGAATCCTGCTGCTGTGTGATGACTACAAGTAGCCTAGGCTACCTCATAAACTCAAAAGGAAAAGATAGAAACTAAATGCAAACAGTTGCAGTGAACAAACAGGAAACCCTCAATTGATTTAGGCTTTAATGGCATTTAAAGTTGTATGTTGACCAGTGTGTTAATCTGGAGCTAATAGGATGTGAAACTGTATAAGGTCAAAGAGCTTTTCCAACCTCATCCCACCTAAATTCAAGAGTCATGTTGCATCTTTGTCACAGTAGTAGGGAAACTGTACAAATTCTGATCAGCCTTTCACTATGCAGCTGCTGGTTTCATTGTCGGCACTAGATGCCACTAAATCGAGCTCTCTGATGACGTCACGTTTGTCCAAAACCCCAAAACCTCTATGAATGAGTGCATCTCTCGCCGGGTGCGGTGGCGCGCGCCTGTAATCCAAGCTACCGGGAGGCTGAGGCTGGCGGATCGTTTGAGCTCAGGAGCTCTGAGCTGCAGCGGACTGTGCTGATCGGGTGTCCGCACTAAGTTCAGTATCGATATGGTGCTCCTAGGGGAGCCCGGGACCACCAGGTCGAATAAGGAGGGGTGCACCGGCCCAGGTCGGAGACGGAGCAGGTCAAAGCCCCCGTGCCGCTCAGTAGTGGGATCGCGCCTGTGAATAGACGCTGTAGTGCAGCCTGAGTAACACAGCGGGACCCAGTCCTTTTACACTCTGTACACTGTTCAACTAACAGCTGGGACAACACACACACTCAACAACAGTGTGTTTATGTGTTACAGCAGCTTCATCACTGCTGCTTTATTTTCATGTTTTCAGAAAAACCTTCAGACACCAGCTCTGTTTGTTTGTGCTACAGCGCCTCCACCTGGGGGAGAGGAGCAATGACCAGCAGCCAATGCAGTTCCACAGATTCAGTAAACTACCAGGGGTTTCTGTAGGATGATTTAATACACTTGATGGAGAAGAGAGAAATTCCTCCAGGAATGAAAATCAGAACATCAGAAACTAAACTCATATGTATTTCTGTATATAGTATAGTACCTAAACAGTCGAGCAGTAGTACATGGCACACTGGGTAAAACATATATTTCAAAGGTTTGTTTTTTTATTATCACTATTCGTTAACATATCTGCCAGCCACAGTGATTTGTTTGTCATGACCACATTTTTCTCGCATCCAGGAAAATTGTCAAGGGCAGGACCTCAGGACCTTTAATGCCCACACACTGAGCAGTGCAGGACGGGACCTGATAAAAAATGTTGTTATTATTATTATTATTATTATTACTATTATTTTAATTATTATAATTATCACTAGCAGTATCTTTTTACATTTATTGTATTAATTACTAACAAGAACAAAAGTGAATGAGAAATCAACATAGATAAACAACTTAGCTAAGGAACAATAGGCTAATAATACAATAAATAATAATGAACAATAAAAGCACAGTATGTGCATTTTCACTCGAGACCCACACCTTAAGACAGGTTCTCAAGAGCAGGTCAAACAGGACCAATGTTGTCAAGTTAGTTGAAATTGTGCTTTAGGGCTACACATTCCCACTTACCCCAAAAAATAAAATAAAATAAATCAAATTACCATGACACAAAATGCCACAAAGTGCAGTCCAGGAGCTGAGTCTGGGAGGTGAAAGCTAGAGCTGGTTAGAAACTTCTGTCACACCTGGTTCCGGACAAATATTTATTTACAGTTTATTTAAATGAATGTCTAAATTACAATTGATGAATCCATATCTGTTAATGTCAAATATAAAGTTTGCTTCATCAAAGTAGCAAACAATGATAGTGTATACTGTAAAATGACTCACTCAGCCGCTTGAATAAGTTGTATAAAGCTAGTGACATGGCAGCATCAATAGGCTTTGCTCAGATTGTACCAACAGTCAAACTGATGGGAGGGGAATGACATCTTCCTGCTGAGGTGCAAGGTTCAGAGTGTCAGAGAGGAGGAGCTGTTGGACCACAGTGGCATCAGGTGCTTCCACTGCGGGTTAAGTTGGGATAGTTGATGAGCTACTGCAGGATGCAGCCAGGGCTAGAATCACCCACGAGTTAATATAGTCACACACAAATATATCATTTGTTCGTCAAGAATTCCTACAATAGAGGTTTAAACATTTTAATAAATACAGAGACAACTTTCAAGGTACATAGGAGAATTAAATATGCTGTGCCATCACTTAATTATTTTTCTTGAAAGCAATATCTGACAACGTAGACTGGACTTTCAAAGGTGACGGCAGACATCACATTAAAACATTAGTTCCTTCGTGTTTCTCACTCCAAACTACCCTGCTTAAAAACATACAATTAGCCTACATATACACAACCGGAAATGAAATTACCACATACCATTAATGGAACCCACATTGTAGGTGTAACACAGCCACAAGACGCACGCAGGGAGAGTGGTGATGCTCTTCCGGACGGTTCCATCATTTTACGCACGCTAAATGAACTCGATGAATGTATAAAATCAAAGGGGAAACACATCGGTGTTTGTTTTGATCACTTAAACTGTCAAAACCTTACCTCACCATCTTCCATCCACTTAACAGATATTGTACAGTCGTGTACCGTCGTGCGTAAAATGGTACGCTCCACCTGCAGTCTGCGGGCTATAAACCCCTGCAAAGCTCTTTAAGCCCCTCAGTTTTATCTCTGACTCACGGCAAATATGAGCCACGGAGACCGTTACACTTCTTCATCCTACCGGAAGATTTTCGGGGATTCTCCCAAGTTCCCCATCTCCTCCTCTCGCATGGGCAGCGCCTCTCCTCGGAGCACCCCTGGGCTCAGGTCCATGGCTGCGTCCCGCAACAGCGCGACCTCCATGAGCCTGTACAGACGGGTCGGCCGGTCCGCCTCTTACTCTCCGGTGCCCACCGACTCCCTCGACTTGACCCAGACCTCCGTGGTCAACAGTGAGTTCAAAGTCGTCAGAACTAACGAGAAGGAGCAGCTGCAGGTAGGTGTGACGGGTTGGAACAAATTGTTATTTTGGCATGTTGAGTTGAAACAAAAACATTCATTAAAAAGTATTTCAGCTGATTGGTCTATAATGATCTGTTTGCATTTATTGATACTCCATATGTGATAAAATTAGGTTCAAGAACTTCAACCAGGACATTTTATTCCAGAACAATTATTTATAATAATAACACTTCACAGAGTTAATCAGGTCCACCTCCTCTAACTAAATACCTTCCAATTCTGATGTCCCGGTTCTGTCAGAGTATGACTATATTAGTTAATTTGAGATAAAGACTATTGGGCTCCTCTAGTGTCAGAATGACCATATTCTGAACTTTATAAACATGGGCCGATTTTAAGACAATGGGCCCCTGGGCACAATCACAATCAGCTGCCTCAGTTTCAGGGTATTGTACATGCTGGCTGTCACACTGTCATGGCTTAATGAGACACTTGAATGGAATGGGGCCATCTTTCAGATATGGGCATTTTTCATGGCAGACATTTTGACTTGTCATAGTAGGAAACAAACAGGTGTCACTAAAGACATTGCAGCTTATAAATTGAAGTCAGCAGAATTTCATGTTCCAGACCAAAGGATACTAAAGAGATGAGACAGGCAATAGATGTTGGTGAAGGTAACGCTTTCTCATGAGTGTGGCTGTCTGCTGT